ATACGTCTCTAGACATCTCTCTCTTTACACCCATCCCTTCCATCTTCTCCTTTCTTTGAACAGAAAGGCTAAGACTAATCCCATCCTTTCCCCAACTTCTCTAAGACTTTGCTTAGGCAAGGATCCCTTTTTTTCCAGAATCCTTACCCTCTTTCTTCCACCAACATTCCCAGATGTTGCTCAACCTAAAGTTTTGCCATTTGCTATATTCCCCAAACTACCTTTCTCTTTATCATCCCAACCTTGATAACAAATGGCTTCCTTTCCCACTGCTGTGCACACTGCTCTCTGCCAAGTGATGAGTGACCTGCCAGTCTCCTAATCCACTGGTCCTTCTCACATCTCATTGGTCACTCTGTTATCTTACTAATTCCCCTGGGCACTGTCACAAACTACTCTAGTGTGTACACCAAGTTGAAAGCTTAGACAGAATTCTTTTTATAACTCCACTCACTCTTTTGAATCTCAGACTATATTTTCATCCTAAATTGCATTCTGTAGTCTCTCCTCTCTGCGAGACTTCCTCTGCTCTCAAGCCTGTAAAAGCCTATAAAAACAAATCATTTCATTACCACATTTAAAAAGCAAGTATTATGTATATTTGTCATCTTCATCTCATCCATGATCCCTAGACCATCTGCCCCAGGCAGTGTCAAATGCCCTACTTCTGTGTCATCACTTCAGAATCTGCAGATTTAAAAACAAGTGCCAGCTTTTCCACAAGCCAGCTCACCCTTGAATGTTCTATTTTTTGTTGCTGATTCTGATCATCAGTCATCCAGCTTTGAAATGGTACTTTTACCCCTAGTGCTTCCTCCCTCTCCCACAGCTAATTAATTAGTCACCAATGTTGTTGACTAATCCCTCATAATATTTCCCTTTATCTACTGCATCTCCTTAATTGTTTGCCACATTCACAAACCATCCCACGTCTACTTCTGTCCTATCTTTTCCTTGAACTTGACTTTTGCAACCTCTGAAAACATAAGATATATCAGCATTGATAAAGCATTTTTTAAAGCAGTGTCCAAGATCTTAGAGATAATAAAATTTTGTCGCTGCTTTGGAGGAACTTTTCATTCCTGTGCTCACTATATAAACAGATGACCAATAACTGTTTACCATTGATAAAAACTCCTTTTAACTTTTTTTAAAAGATTTGTTTTTATTTATGCTTACAGAACTGGGGTACAGGCCAGATGTTTGGTGGGTGAGAAGATTCACCAGAGTCAGAGTGGGGAGCAGAACAGGCAGATTGACAAAGTACACTGCTGAGGGGACCTGTGGGTGGGTCAGGAGAGGTCTGCCATGCCATGTGGGTCAGCCAGGATCCAATTCTTGCTGCAGTGGCATTGGAGAGCTTCATAATGCGATGCTTTAACCCATTGCGCCACCAGGGAGAGCCCAAAACTCCTTTTAACTTAAAGAAAAAAATGTACACTTTCTATACCTAACTCCAAAAGTAGATATAAATAGAACCAAGTTGCTCCAAATCAATCTTCCTGCCTTGGGGGTTCACCTAACATATAACCACAGTATGTGAGAGAGGCAACTATTCTGTTTTAGAAAAACCTTCAAATTGGGGGATTGCTCTTGCTTCTCCAACTAACTAATCATTGTACAAGTTCCTTTCCTTTTAGCCTCCTCATCTGCTATGTGCCAGTGTAATGGACTTACAGTGAGGTTTAATGAAGTAATATCAGAAAGTACTTTCAGAATCTTTGTCACTGGGCAGTCATGTCACAAAGTACAGTCACCCTGTTGCTTTAGGACAAATCTTTTATTACCTCCCTAATTAGAAGCCTCCTGTGGTGTGATGATTGGACAGCAAACTAGGTACTTAGTTGCCACTTGACACTCTGCCCACGGTTTCTTCAAATGAAACCCTGACCTGGCACCTGCCATTCTCGGCTGCCTAAATAGGTGCCCAGAGAGGCAGAAGGCTTCTCTAGAGGGCACATTTTTAATGGGCATTAAGCCATTCATTAAGTGGAGATTCACTTGCAAAGTGAATTTGATCTCCTTTTTGCCTGAAAGCTACTTGCAGGATCTCCTGTTCTCTCCCCTTGCTTCTCACAGGGGGGTACCTTCCTCCACTGCACACCCTCTTTGCACAAGTTGTGCTCTCTTTTAATGTATTTCCAAATGTATCTGAACCTTTGGGTATCATAAAATAGAAGACTGTGACTTATTCAAGTAGGTTTTCCTTTTTAGCAATTTATTTATTTTAATATCCCTGCCACCTAGCACAAAACCTGGCACATAGATCTTACTCAATAAATACTGAACAAATGGAAGAGGTAATACTTAAGTTAAAGATGATGTTTTTGGCTTCTTCCTACACCTTCCCCTTGTCAACCCACTCCTACAATGAAATAATGAATTCTAAAGAATTCCAGATCCCCAGGGACTTTTAGCCCCACTGATGTAGGCTAAAGCTTACTGAGGGTTGCCAGATCCACTCAGCCTCAAGGTGAGCTTCTGTGGATTTCCCTTCTTCCCCCACTTCTATTGTTAATCTTCAGGGTTTCTGGGGAATTTTAAGGCTTATATCTTACAAAAGATCCCTCTTCTCTGCCTCCCCCAAAGAAAAAATACTATTTTAGTGTTATGCTCTCAGCAAACTATTTCTAGAGGAAAAGCGTTTGGTCAACTGATTTATATATTGTTGTCAGTAACAAGCTAATTTTTAACACATTAACACATTCTAGGATTAAGGTGTTAAAACTAGCAAATACTTTGAAAATAAAATGAATTAGTTGAAGGAATGAATTTCTGATAGTGGAATGTCAGGTAGCGTGACTGGTGATTGGACTAGTGAAAAGAGATTTTGAGTAGCAATGCGTCTTTTAAACCTAGAAATCTACTTGTAGAGCTACCCCTATTCAAGAAAGAGGAAAAATTATTTGCTGTACCTGAAGGTGTACTTGTGAGATAAGCATGACATTGGTGGTGGTGGTGGGTAGAGATAATAAATCAGCTTGAAGGTAAATTTCTCTCCAATTTCAGATTGCCAGGGTATCTTAAGCCTATAGTAAAAGGATCTCTTCACCTTTAAAACTTTCATTTTGAGCCCTTCCCTGGTGGTGCAACAGGTTAAGCGCAGCACTATGAAGCTAGCCACAGCTGCGTTAGTGCCATTTTGATCCCTGCCAGGGAGGTGACCCACATGGAGCAGCAGACCACTCCCCTTGTACCTGCTGCTCCCCTCAGCAGTGTACTTCAGCAGTCTGCCTGTTCTACTCTCCACTCTGGTGAATCTTCTTACCACTCCTACACCTCTGGCCTGTATCCCAGTTCTGCATACATAAATAAATCTTTAAAAAAATAAATAAGACTAAAACCCTCATTTATTCTCCAGCCTGCCCTCAATAGGTCTGCTGGCAAGGGTGAATACTTTGCTCTGCAACACAACTTATGTCCCCTCTCCAGCATCATGTCACCAGCCTACATTACCTTTCCTGCTGTATTTTCAGCTGCTTATGGGCCTTTGTGATGTGATAGCTTTCTGCTCTTCAATCGGGTCATCTCTATTTTCCTTTGGAACAAATGACCGGTATCTAATTCTATAAGCCAGGTGTCTCCAGCTGCAGTGCACATGAGGTTGGCATTGTGAGCACCTGCCAGTTTTACTCAGTTGTAAATGGGAATTTTGTACCTTACCTTCCCTTTCTGAAAATTTTGACCTAACATTCTGTAAAAAACCATTTGTTGCAAAAACCTGAGGGACATTCAAGGCATTATGTTAAGTGAGACAAACCAGACAGTAAAAGATAAATACTGGATGATGTAAAAACCAAACCTGCAGAAACAGTAGAAAAAGTGATCACAGAAGGTACAGGAATTGGGTACAAATTTGCATCTAGAGATGACTAAATTCTAGAATTTATAGTCAGCAATACTATTGCTGACTATAAAGGTGGTGAGAGACATGATCTTAAATGTTCTCACCATTTTGATAGAGGGGCGAACTGACTCTATGATGGTACTAATATTCTAGTAGCGACAAATGTGTCGCTACATCTAAACTTACGGAATGTTCTAGCTCAATTATATATCAATAAAAAGGTCCACCACTTTCGTAATTGAAGAATAAATTGCACATTCTTCAGTAAGACATCTTTGCTTATGTCATTACCTGGGGAATGGAATATTAGAAATACTGATTAGATGGAAAAGTCATGACGTACTTTTTTCTATTTTTTTCACGCAAAAATGCATCATAACTTTTCTGACAACCCAATATTTCCATTTTATATCCTTTGAAATACCACAAATTATTCTTTTGAATTGAATATCTTGTTTCTAAGTTGAAAGAAGGTAATAACTGAATGCTAGACATGACATGGATTTTAACGCTTGAATTCTGGATTTTTAAATCATGGGATTTAAGTGAACAGTTATGGTTGTCGGACGGCCTAATCTCAGCGTCTGCTCTATGCATTTCCTTAAAGTCAGTATTGCGGGTTTTGGCTCACTCGGGATGCACTGGCTGCTTTCCCTCATCTGTGGCCTCGCTCACTTCCTCAGAACCTGATTTTCCTTGTTGCTGCCTCTCCTCAGCAAGAGGAACTTGTGTATGACTAGCGTACACGTGGCCGGGTCATGCAAAGACATAAACTTGTCAGCAGGCATCAAGTGCGCGCATAAACACGCCATACAGAAGAGCGCAGGTGTTCGCGGAGTCCGCTGAAGCTTTCTGGCGCAGGCATCAACGTGTGCCAGCGGCGGAGCAGATGGCGCAGCCTTGTGAAGCCGCGTAGGGAAAGGTCCCTGGAGATTCAGTGGCCTTTTCTTATCTCTGAATTTATAAACCAACTAAAGGGATGGAAAATCTGCTTCTGAAGAGAAACGAAAAGACAGAAGATCCAGGGACACCCACGCCTGCTCACTTGTGTGTAGGAACCTGGAGGCCCGCAGCCAGGTCTTAGCTAGTGAGCCGCCCCACCCCAGCAGCGGTTGGGTGCTAAGTGTGTGTGTTTTGTGTCTCCTCCCCACAGCTATTGACTTGCTCTACTGGCGGGACATCAAGCAGACCGGGATAGTGTTTGGGAGCTGCCTGCTGCTGCTCTTCTCCCTGACCCAGTTCAGCGTGGTGAGCGTGGTGGCCTACCTGGCCCTTGCTGCGCTCTCGGCCACCATCAGCTTCCGCATCTACAAGTCTGTGTTACAAGCTGTGCAGAAAACCGACGAGGGCCACCCTTTCAAGTGAGTGCCCTGCCGGACCGGGCCTTGTCCTGCCCCCTACAGGGATCCTTCCCATCTGCCTTGTTCTGCTCCCAGGGCCATTTGGTGTCATGCTTCTCTGAGGCCTCATATCTCCTTCAGCACCTGGTCTTTGAACAGCGAATATGTGTAGTCAATTTCTAAGACAAATTCAATTATAACCCTATTCTAACACATTGCAGTATTAGCTCTAGTACTAATTACTTTGTGTTATACATATACTTATGTAAACTTTATATATATAATACAAATTTATAGAACTTTATAATATAAATTTATAGAATATAAAGATAATAGAAATTTATAGATGACACATGTATATTTAACATTTTACATTTGCTTATTACTAATACTGTGTACACTGCTTTATAATTTAAAGAGTGTTTCAACAATCCTCCCAACTCTGTGAAGAAGGCAGAGGATTAAATTTATAATCCCTGTTTGTGAGTGAAAAAGTGAATTGTACACAGCCAGGAGCTACCACAGAGCCAGGATTAGGTATTTGGTTTCGTTCCCATACCTGCTCTGAAAACCCCGTCACCTGGTGCACTGTTGTCAGTGGCCTTCTGGCTCTGGCCCCTGGGCAGGTGTCCTCACCTCTGGAACCAAGGACAATTCCGAGTCCTGGGCGAGGCATGTGGGTGCTGCTGCCAAATGGCTTTTCACCCAGCCCACCACTCACCAGAGATGCCTTTGGCCTCACCCTGGCACGGCCTCACCCTGGCACATCCTCACCGGTTGGCTTAATCAAAAACTGAGAAGTACCTCAGTTATGAGGGCTCAGTGACATCAGATGGCACTTCCGAGCCTCTGAGTAGTGCTTCAGTCAGTTACACATGGAGTGTGCTTGTCTTTGAATGTGTTTGACCTTCTAATCAGAGTGAATGGATCTTCTTAGCTATAACATGGGGCTACCAAGTTCCACCTCAAATGCGGGAAGAGCAGAGAAATGGAGTATCACTTACCGGGCTATCACAATACCTATTTCAGTGACCCCAACCTGAGATGCTACAGTTCTGCCTGCCCCCCGCTTCTGCTCTCAGCCACCCAAAAAAGGCATGTTTCTGCCACCTTCTTGGCCCCCAGTTACAGGGTTGTCAAGTTACAGGGAAACTTTCTCTCATTTAATTTATTTCCACTAATACTCTCCTTCAGGACCAAGAATCTGACTACCATTAGCTCCACTGCTTTATCTTCCTTAAGGAGAGCCATTTATAAGGTAAACCTTTTCTTTGGCTGAGTTGTTTTAATCAGTTAAAGAAATATCTGACTGATTGGGAGCAAAGCAAATTAACTAGGTAAATTAGTATTTTTTCCATTTTTTTTTCTAAAGAGGAAAAAGGCAATAACATTTCAACATAAACTCCTTAAAACATAAATCAACTGTTGCTTTACACTTTTAATCTCAATTCCTGTAGTTGGGAAGCACTTTGATAGCTCTAGCAATAGCCTGAGGTAGACAACAAGGTGCTATCTCAAAACAGGAGATGGAGGGAAGGGTGTGACTCTGGACCTTTCTGGAGGAGCAAGACCAAACAGCAGGATGAACTGATTGATATGCCCATGTGAGAGTCTGGTTTATCTACCCAAGAGTTAATTTTAGCCATTTGAACAAATGAAAAGTGCAGTTACTGAAAATAACACTATTTATAGAACAAGTGAGCTCTTTCATATGACCCAGGTCACTTAGTTGTCATGGCTCTCTAGGAAAAAACTGGATTCCTTTCCAGAATTTAAAAATGAAGTTTTATAGTTTGATGAGCAATGTTCTGAAAAACAATTTTTCAAAAACAAAATTTCATCTCTACATGACCAAGAAGAAATAAAGACTCACAACCACCTGGCAGGCCAGGGGTGGAAGGGGAATTCAGCAGAGATGGCACTGACTTTCCTCTGAGCCCAGTCCGTGGCTCTGAATTATCATTTGTGGAAGACACTAATAGTCACAGCACCTCACTAAGAGCCATGATTCCCAAGTCCCCCAGTGCCTGCGACGTGGATGTATATCAGACCCTGCAGCCCACTCGCTGGGTAAACACCTGAGAATCTCAGCTGTGGTCCTCAGAGCCAGAGAGAAGGCAAACCTAACTGTTTCGGAGTTGCCTCTGATAGAGTTCTCTTTGGGACGGTGTGTTGACAGGACCTACCTGGAGCTTGAGATCACCCTCTCCCAGGACCAGATTCAGAAGTACACCGACTGTCTGCAGTTCTACGTGAACAACACCCTTAAAGAACTGAGGAGGCTCTTCCTCGTCCAGGACCTGGTGGATTCCTTAAAAGTATGACTTTTTAAGTATTCACTTGAGGTTCTTGAGGAGGTTTTGCTCCTATTATAAACCACTACATGATGGGGGATAAAAAGCAAGTGTTTCTTGCTCCACCAGCTATATTGTGGGGCGCGTCCAGTATAATCTCCTCACTGTACAGACCCTAGAACTGTAGCTCAAAACCCCAAGACACTTGTCTGGGATTGCCCAGAGAGTTATCGGCAGAGCTGAGGCTAAACCCAGGTCACCCATCTGCCTTTTCTGTACTTTCACAGTTGTTTCTCCTTACCAAATCCAGTTCCTCCCACAATTTTAATGTCCTACAATTAATTTTAAAAT